TTTAGGAGGCTATTGTAGTGGCATCTATTGTAGTAGAACTGGTAGTTTACTATTATGTCCTCTCTCTTTGCAGTTGGCCCGCACATAGGGCGTTATTGCGGGCAGAACAACCCAGGACGTGTCCGGTCTTCAACAGGGATTCTTTCAATGGTATTTTACACTGACAGTGCAATAGCAAAAGAGGGATTCTCAGCAAACTACAGCGTGTCGCAGAGCAGTGTATCAGAAGGTCAGTATTTATCTACCCCACAGAGCTTCTTGGAAAATATTCTCTGTTATGTCTTCTTGCACACCAGGTGTTGCGTGAAACTTTAAAGAAACCTTAAATAAATAAGATGGTGGGGAAGGGTTGGTTCTGTTTTCCTTTTTTCTTTTTTTTTCTTTTTTTTTTTTTTTTAAAGAACAGCTGCCCTTTGAAAAGCAGTGCAAGAAGCAGAATTCGCCTTACAGTTTTATTCTGCAGTATTGCCAGGAAGTTGGGATAATTATTGTGAAAAACTGTGCTGACCAAGGAAACGCAGGAATGCAAAGCAATTGAACACTTGCATTAAAACAATGAAACATGAACAATGAATGCACTATCCAAAGCCTTCTTTTATTACATGGAATAAGCTTTGATGATCAATTTCTTGAATAAAAAGAACCCATTTAATACATGTGTTCCTGTTAAACCATTTCATAAGCTATCTAAGCTTTGTTCTCTGTCTCGTATTTTTTTTCCCAGTTGCGTCGTTTTCATGCTTACCCTTTGGACAAAGAATGAAACAAAGTGAGGGAGACGCAGGAAAATAACAGGCTGTGTTACACCATGTCCTTGCAGATTTCCTTGCTTTGCTCAATGATGAAACACACACTTTAAATCAAACTCCCTCTCCTTTCTGTGGCTTACTGAGTTTTGAGCAGATTCACCCAGATTTGATGTACTTGTTTAGTCAAAGAAGGAACAAAAGAAAAAAGAGTAAACTTAAATTACCCCGTTACTCCCCACCTCTCCTCTGCCCCTTGCCTCTTTAATAGCTTTCTCGTATCTGCATAGGCAGGAAGAGGGAATGGGACATACCCCAGCCTCTGTGGATGGGAAGCATCCTCCCATCCATAAGTTTGATAGTTCAGTTATGAGGCACCCTAACTACAACTGCTATAAGGTACCCTGTTAGCATTTCTGAATATAAGGGTTTGGATTCCAGGTAGAAATTTTTAAACCTTTTTTTTTTTTTTTTTCCAGAATATTTTAATTTTCATTGAAAAATCAGAGCTTTGCTTATTAAAAACTCATTTTTCCAACCATAGATTTTGAAACCTTCAGCTCAGCACTTAAGCCTCTGTTAGAGATATGTCAGCTCCAGAGAGGGTGTGATAAAAAGGAGTGTGTACCCAAATGTCAGGGCCTCCACTTCACACACTGGTATTTTACTTTAAACTGATAATGAAGGAATGAATTACAGTAATATACCATGAAGTCCCTGAACAGAAGCGTACATACATGTTATTTTCTCCTGCCCTTGCAATGGGGTTGGTAAACCTCTGAGAGAGGGGTGCATGAGCAGTGGGGTGTGAGGATCCATCTAAAGCCACCTGCCTCTTTTGCTTTGGTGGGGGTTGGAGCCTTTATTTTTGAAGAGTGAGGGAAGAATTCAGTGTCCATGCCCTATCAGCCTTTGAACTCACTATAGTGACTGGGTTGTCAATTGGTTCTAAATTGTCTTGGTAATTTTTGTGTCAACAAGAAGAGATTGGATGGAGATGACAAACTCATTTAAAATACAGCATGTTATAGAAGAGGCGGTAATTCCCTTGGGTCAATACTCTTCTGGCCTGGATTCAAATTTTGTTGATCTGTTTCTTTCCATTGTCCAGGATCAAAAGTGAATGGCTAGAATTTTAATAATATTTTTAAAACATTTCATACTTTTGTACTTGAGTAAATAGTTTTAAAATAAAATTATTTTATACAGTCATCTGGTTTGTCTTTCCTGGCTTTGTGCATAATTATGAGTTGAACATACATTGTTTTATATTATGAATCCACAGAAGTGCCTGTGCTACCCTAGAAAAAGAGAATTCTATTGTCCTATATTGAAATGGCTACAATGCTGGCTAAAAATATTTGTATAGCATTATTATTGCAGGAATTGCCATGGCAACTCAAATGACAGTATTAAGAATGACACCATAAGCCCAGTACTGCCTCACTTAAAGTTGCTAAAGAATTCAAAGTCTCATAAAAATAAATTCTTTAGATATTCATATTCAAAGCAGGGAAACGTTCTCATTATTCGAAGTCTAAATCAAAAAGCTGACCATAATAATGGTGGTAATTTATTTTTCTTCAGATTTCCAGTGCATGGAACCACTAGGTATGGAGTCAGGAGAAATTCACTCTGATCAAATCACCGTCTCCTCCCAGTACAGCGCTATCTGGTCTTCAGAAAGGTCCCGGCTAAATTACCCTGAGAACGGATGGACCCCAGGAGAAGACTCTATCAGAGAATGGATACAGGTAAAAAGATAACGTTTTAAAGATATTAATAATAATACTCTGGAGTTTATTGAATGTGGAGAATGCAAAAGAAAGAAAGAAAAAAAAACACAGTAAAGTACTACATAATCTAAGAATCATTGCAAGTGAATGGCTCGCACTCCCTATTAGACACACAAAAAAAGACTGACTCCCAAAGGTATAAAATAGAAAAGGTCAGGAAGATTAATTCTTCTGCTTCCCACGTCTATTGTTTTTTCAGTCTTCTGGGCACAAATAACAGAGATTTTGGTTTAGTGGAAAAGTCAATATTAGTTTAACATGCACTTAAAGTGGAATGTCCCCGTGAACTGAGCATGTGCTATGTCTCTAGCTGATTACAGTTAAGCATTAATACGACATGGTGTTTTCATGCACTCATATTTCACCTCAGAAGACCTATGTCCCTTCTAGAATATGTTACATATGAAATGAGTTTAGTAATCTCTGTCTAGTGACTATTCTTCCATGTCCTTAAACACAACATTCGTTAGCAAGGTTGGCCACCTTGGCTTTGCTCTGTTAATGCAGGAGAAATCCTGCAAACATTTGACCCCACGAAGAGATTCCTTGCGTTCAGTTAGTCTACTTAGGCTTGTTGTTTGCTATTTGTCATCAGGTCCATAGCTGAATGGCACATGGTTCCTGAACAGGTTAGAATTATTCATATGAATTATATATAGTATACAAATAATCTATACTAGCAGGCAGTTATTAATATCATTAGGTGAAAAAAACTACTGACTTGTCTCAATTGTAGGTTGACTTAGACTTCTTAGTTATGATCTAGATTCTATTTCTGTTGGCAAAAGCTAAGAGAAAGGCTTGAGCATATTAGATCAATATTTCTAATATTGAAAACGTGTTCATATATTTGAAACATTCCTCCTGCTTCTGTTGTTTTCTATAGGAAATTACTAACTGGCATATAAAAACAATGCCTTATTAGCCATCCATACGAATGTTCACATTGATGTTTCCTGTGGGGTTTGCTGTCTGCAAGAAAGCTTAAAAACATGTTGAGTAGTAGTTAGTAAAGGGAAGAAAGAGAGGGAAATCTTTCATTTCTGATCCTTTGCACACAATGGGACTCTCAGGTGTCCTGCTTAGGGGCCCCTACACATCCTGAGCTCTTGGCAAATTGGTAATCATGTATGATGGACCTAATCAGATTTCAGAGTGGCAAAAAAAATCTGTTGATCCTTTTTCCTTACTTAGGAATAAATGTTAAAATCTCCCCAGCCTTATCTAAGTGCAAGGCTTGTTATTAATCAATGCCACTTGCAGTCCATGGAATGCACATGTGAAAAGGGTGGAATACATCAGAATCAAATTCCATGTGTTTCATCTGGTCAGAGGGTCGCCACTTTTTCTTTATTTCCTTCTTTTCTGCTGTCACTTACGTATTTATGACTGGATAATCAAAACAAGAGAGCTAGTCAAATCTCATTCATGTGTTCTGTGTGCTTATTAACTTTATTAAGTTATGATGACTACATACATACATATATAGCTTAATCCCTTCACTTAGAACTAGATCTTTCTGAGAAAAAGTTTCAAAGGACCTTTTTTAGCCATTAGCTTTTTTAATAACAAACACATAACAGAATCCAAGCTACTCTGGGGTTTATGCTTAAAACAGCTCAAGGTACCTCAGGCCTCCTGCCTGTGAATTTCTCAGCCTCCTTTACCTTCTGCCATAAACCAGGGTGCTCAGGGGCTGAAACAACCACTGAGCATAATTTTTACCAGCTTTATGCTGCCTCCAGCTACCACATCAGCCAAGAAGTTGGTGGTTATTTGTATGCTGTACTGCTCACGCCACAGCCCTCACCTACTTCATGCAGCCCCTGGTTTGGAAAAGGCAGCAAGAACCATTTCCCTGAGCAGTCTAGCCGTAGGGCGTCTGCTCCACTGCCCAGGGCCCATGTAGAGGGACTGGCACCCCAAGGTAGACTTCCTGACGGAGCAACTAGGCTGTAGCAGCCTCCGCTGCAGAGCTGGTCTTGTTTGCAAGACTGAGCCTACAAAGTCTTGCTTGAAGATTCATTGCATTGAATAGGCATGCTTAACACTTGTTGCAGAAGAACTGTTAATAGTTTCTACCACTCAAACTATGTAGCAAAAGCAACCGAGCTAGTTTGGAGATTGAGTATGCCAACCCCTGGCTTTTCACAAGGTACAATAGTTTAACTCATCTTTGGTTCCATTTGTGTCAGGAGGATATTAATTCTTATACTTATTTATTATGGTTTAATTCAATACTAACATTGCTAATCCAAACTTCCAAATGTGTTCTAAATGCTTTCCTGTTAAACTTAATTGACAATCTTGAGACAGGTGCTAAGCGCTTCAGACCATCAGGCACCTCAATAACAGGGTCTTTGCCCATGTGAACTGCCATCTTCTACAAAGGCTTGATGCCATTGGCAGCAAGCACATGTTGCAAGTTTGTATCTGGGTAAAATATTGAAATCCCATGTTTCCTTTGTACAAATATCCCAAGGAACAGATGTTCATCTCCATAAGAGTTTACAGGCAAACAACCAAGGACATGCAACTAATCAAATACTCTGAAATTACCCGCTGAAAAAAATCATAATATTTTATAAAAGGAGGAAGACACTTCTATATGAAGGACTGAGGTCACTTTGTTCTGTTTTGTTCTGTATGCGATTGTAAACTAGTCATTTATTTGAAGTATTTGCTTTTGTGCAGTACAGCGTAAATGGATTTTTGTTGCATAGTGCAAGAACTCTAGAAAATATTTAACAGCAAAAAACAGGCTGAAGGATATAGCAATGCTTAACTTGGAACTTTTAAAGTGAAAATTTATGCCTATATGCCCTTGTCTGAGAGACAAAGATTTTGCTTATATCACTATTCATTAATCTTTTCACGATTGCAGGTTTCCATACCTGCACACACACTACAGCTGGTTAAGTAGTGATGTCTGCCTTCCAAGTGCTAATATGCATATGCAACTAGAGCATATATATGAGATATGTACAAGCATACATGGGCGAAGCAGCTTGAAAATTTAGCTCCAAATACTAATTTCCTTAGTGTATCATTTTTTTTTATAGGGGAAATATTATAGTTCTCCTTTCCCTTCCTTTCACCCCTCCCTTCAAGGTTAATGTTTTTGCTAAGACAAAAGAAACAGAAAACCTCAGTTAAGTATCACCAAAGGGAGATTGGTATCTATAGAGGACGTCTAGAGGGCATGCGATATGATTGTCTCCTTTGAGGTGTTGACGTCTTTTGGACCATTTGGCTGAAAAGAATAAGGAAAATAGTGTTGGCTTGTTCTTAGTAATGGATTTGCATGAATTCCATCTGTGGATGTGGAACCCATTCTTTGCTGGAAAAACTAGATTGCTCCTTAGTGGCTGACAAGGTACTAATTCCAGAGTTCGTCTGAATGCAGCCTGCTTACCAGGCTCTGCTAAGTGAAAGCTGTCTGTCTGTTCCTTTCCTTAGTTGTTTTGAAATAAATGTCAAAGCTTAGATTCAAAATATCCATAGCACAGTCACACCATTAAGTCTGCACAGTACTTTCTCCATTTTGTTTTTACCTTCAAACACACTTCTTAAAATTGCTTGACTAACTTGAGATTTGGAGTGACTCCATAATCAGAAACAGAGTCACTCCAGATTGAATTTCTTCTTTAAAAACACATTAATAAAGTCTGTGGATTTTCTAATATGAATGGAATAAAGATACGCAAAAGGCAAGGGCTGCCAAAAATAAGTATGAAGTTAGTTTATTGTCGTATGTGATGTTATTAGCTCCTCAACCTTAAGCTCAGTCTACTTGTTTATTACACTTATGTTTCACACACTCGACTGCCCTTCAGTGTGAAATAGCATAATTTAAAATAAAAAATAAAAACAGCCCTTTAATTTAATCAAGAGCAGGGAACCGCCATTGCAACATAAGTCATTGTCCCTCATTAACGTATCCTTTCACAGGAAAAATAGTATAGTGTTTCCATTTCTGTAATCTGAACAACAAACATGTTAATAGGTATCAATTACCAGCCAGTTTCAGTACTTAGAACCAGTAGAGAAGGCCAGTGTGAGGGTTTCACATCTGGTTTTAGTGAAACTGTTCCTGTCTGTGGTATTTAAAATTTAAAGAACTCCTGTTATTGTGCAATTGGGAATCCTAGGGGAGTACAATGTTAATGAAATCCATAACATGCAGGGATTTTATGATTGCATTTTCAAGGCATTCCTTCAAAAGGGACAACTGATTTCTGCCATGGCAGCAGTAATTGTGTTTTTACAGAGTAGATTTAATGTTCGCATTTAAGAACAGCAGTTACGTTTACACTCATCTGAAAAAGTAACATGCAAAATCTTTATATTTAGGGAACTTTTTGCATCTTATTTTTGAAGCCTTTGAGCAGAAGCCATGGGCCGCCATGCATGGCAAGCCCTTGCACCTCAGGGACGCCCCAATGGGTCGTGGCCAGCAGCCCCCCAGGGCAGCACAGAGGTGGGGGGAGGCCCAGGAGGAGCCCCTGGCTAGGTAGGTGCCGTCAGCTAAAGATACTTGAGACCCACGTGTGTGTGGTTTTGAAAGGAGACTGATTGCCTATTACCAGGGTCACTGGGAACCTGTGCTGTCATCAATCCTCATAATGGTGTGGGTTTTCAAACCCGCAAGGAGCAACACCTTCTGGGTACTTTTACTGCAGAATCTGTATGTTTTCTATCAAAATGTTTCTTCTAATGCATATAACACAAATCTTTACACTCCCACCAAGCTGGATGATAGTTTCTGGGTGGCACAATTTTTCTCTCATCCTGTAATACCAAGCGAGACCTCCAGCTTTGCCAGAAAGCAAAGCATGTTTGTTAATAACACAAGATTTTCAGTTCATATTATGGCTGGGGTTGGACACAACCATAAATCCGGCTTTAAGAATCCTCGAATCAGATCAAAACTTTGCAGCCATAAAACAAAAAGCACT